GTTGTTATAAGAGCTGTAAGAGCCACCAATAGATGATCTTTAAAAAAATAAAAAGAAAGAAATTGAAGAATTCTTAAAAAAACAAAAACAAAAAAACCCTGATGTCTCCTGTGCTTTGAACATGTTATTAGGAGAGACTAGTCCCTGGGAAAAGACACCATGTTTGGTGAAGCAGAGGCAGGGAAAAGAGGAAGACCCTGGAGAAAATGGATTGGTCAGTGTCTGCAACTGTGGGCTCAAACATCAGAACAGTTGTGAAGACGATGTGGGACCGGATGCTGCTTTGTGCATTGACTGGATGGCATCTAACAACAAAGAGCCCGGCATCCTGGTTCATTAACATCACTGAGGAGAGGATTTATATCACATAGGATATTTATATCAAGTTACAAAAGGGAGAATAATTACATAATATTGAGAACAATGTCCTAGCCAAATTGACACATTTGAGGGGGCTTTAAAAAGTTAGGGAAAATGGAATTAAAAGACTTTTCCATGAAAAATTTGAAGCATCTTTGTATTTGGACAGGACACAATTCAATCCAAAATAATAGTATAATGAAATGGGCAAAGATCTGAAGTTGGAAAACCAAAGGGAATAAAATGCTTGGCATTTCCCAAGCTGTAAGAACTGAAGAAGAAAAATTATGCCTTGAGTTGTAATGCTGAAAGATTCTAATGGCAAAAAATTGAAAGATGCAGATAGCTTCAAAAGAAGATGGAAACAATACACAGAATCACTGTAAGAAAAAGAGACAGACATATGAGGGCAACGAATGTACAAATGTGCTTTACACATTGAGGTAGGTATGGATTGTGATAAGAGTTGTATGAGCCCCCAATAAAATGATTAAAAAGAGAGAGAGACAGATATACAACCATTTCAGAAGGTAGCATATAAGCATGAACTAACGACAATAAAGGAAGATGTCCAAACTGCACTGGAAAGTGATGGCAAATAGAAAACTACAGGAATTGATAAAACACCAATTGAAATGTTTCAACAAATGGATGCAATGCTGGAAACCCTCACTCATCTATGCCAAGAAACTTGTAAGATGGTTACCTGGCCCACCAATTGTAAGAGATCTTTGTGCCCTCTTCAAAGAAAAGTGATCCAATAGAATGTGGAAATGATAGAGCAGTATCATTAATATCACACAAATAAAATTTTGCTGGAGACAATTCAAAAATGGTTGCAGCAGTGCATCGACAAGGAACTGCCAAAATTCCAGCGAGATTTAGACGAGTACTTGGAATGAGGCATGTCTGTGGATAGCTGATGGCTCTTGGTAGAAAGCGGAGCATACCAGGAAGATGTCCACTTGATAATATGTCCAAAGTACATGAGACAAAATCTGATCATCCTTGCTGCTAAGAGCCATCTGGCTATCGTTCTTTCGACAAAGATTTTTCATACTCCTGGTATATGCCGCATTCTTTGCCAACACCATAATTCAAAGGCATCGATTCTTCACTGTCCTTATTCATTGTCCAGCTTTTACACATTGTCCAGTGAATGAAACATTAACGAGCACATTAGTCCATAAAGTGACATTTTTGCTTTTTAACACTAAATTTAAAGGGGCCTTTTTTTTTACAGCAGATTTGACCAATGTAATACTTCATTTATTTTCTTTTGACTGTTGCTTCCACGGACATTGATCATGGATCCAAGTAGAATGAAATCCTCCACAACCTCGACCTTTTCTCCATCTATCATCATGTGTTTACTAGGCTAGTTGTGAGGAATTTTGCTCTCTTTATGTTGAAGTGTAGTTCCCACGGGATGAAAGTGGTAGTCTCTGATCTTTATCAGTGTGCACTTCAAGTGATCCTCAATTGCATGAAACAAGGTTGTCGCATCTACATATTGCAGGTTGTTAATGAACGGATCTTTCTTTAACCCGATGCCACATTTTTCTTCATATAGTTCGGCTTCTCTAATTACTTGCTCAACATACAGACTGAGCAAGTGTAAAAGAATACAACTTTGGCACACGCTTTTCCTGACTGTAAGTCGCTCAGTGTACAGATGTTTGGGAATTCCATTCTTTACAATGTTATTCTTAATTTGTTATGATTCACACAGTCAAATGACTTTATGTAGTCAATAAAATACAGGTAAACATATTTCTGGTATTCTCTACTTTCTGCCTAGATCCATATGATGTCAGCAATGATATCCCTTATTCTTATTCTATTCTGAATCTGAATTGCTAGCATCTCCCTGTTAATATACTGCTGCAATAATTGTTGAATTAATGTCAGCAACATTTTACCAATGATCTTGAGAGATATCCATATAGATAATTTCCATATTCTATTAGGTTGCCTTTCATTGGAATGGGCACAAATATGGTCTAGTCAGTTGATCAGGTAGTTAGCTCATGATATGTTGGTGTAGTTCCTGGTATGTCTGTATTTAAACCATTCTCTGGCTCCAGCTCTCCCAAGTGTATGGTGGTTTCAGTATATGGTATACTGCCCAGTTCAAACTGTTCTATTCCTTGGGAAACATCACTATTTACTCTTTTACAGAGTACTATATCTTTTATTATGTAACAGATGTATATAGAGTGCTGTTATGAATTTGTGTTCCCCAAAATGTGTTGTCATTCCTAACCTCTCCAGGGGTCCTCAAACTTTTTAAAACAGGGAGCCAGTTCAATGTCCCTCAGATCCGTTGGAGGGCCGGACTATCATTTTAAAAAAAACTATGAATAAATTCCTGTGCACACTGCACATATCTTATTTTGAAGTAAAAAGACAAAAGGGGGAAAAACACCCATCGGGCCGGATAAATGTCCTCAGCGGGCTGCATGTGGCCTGCGGGCCATAGTTTGAGGACGCCTGCTCTATACCTATGGTTAAGGAGCCCTGGTGGCACAGTGGGTTAGTATTTGACTGCTAACTGCAAGGTCCATGGTTCAAAGAAGATGTCTGTTTTCATAAAGATCTGCAGTCTTGGAAACCTTAGGGAGCAGTTCTGCTCTCCTACAGAATATCTATGAGCCAAAATGGACTGCTGGGCAGTAGGTAAGCTTATAGTTATAATTCTATCCTAGAATAGGTTTTCTTTGTCGTGTTAATGAGACAGGTTTAGTGTAGGTATGTCTTGAGTCAATCTCTTTTGAGATATGAAAGGAGATTAAACAAGGAAACTATGACGGGGAAGAGATGTCATACTAACTGGAAATTACCAACGACCTGAGGAACAGAAGCTGAAAAGACATGAGGACAGCCCTTCAGAGCCTCCTCCCTGTGAGAAAATAGATTTCTTTTTGTTGTTGTCACTCACTGTGGTGTTTCTTACATAGCAGCACTAGATAACTAAGACATTGCTTCCACATATACGTATGTCCTCATCTGATTACCTTTTTGTGAGCAAGCCCATTGTGTCCTCTCTCACTCCATTTGAACTGAAAATATGCTTGACCCTGAATTTAACCACGTATTCTTAGATCTATACATACCTAAACAAAAGTAGTTAAATAAACAAATCTATTTAACCTACCAAATAAACACATCTATTTCTCTTTAGAACAAAACCTTTAGGAACCTCATCTAGAATCAAAATTTTTAAAATCTAGTTGGAAATTTTTTTAAACATCAAGTGAAAACTAAAAATCTTGACTATCAATGACCAGACAGATCAAGAATCGAATTGCCTCACCAAGACTGTACACGTAGAGGCGATTTCTAGCATCCCACTCAATACTCTATCAGTTGTTTCCCTCTGACCAACCCCATCTACCATGCCCATCTATCCCCTTCTTACCACTGCCATCGGGATCATTCCATTGGGGTCTAGAATCCACTCACTGAACTGCTCCTCCAGTGCTTGCCTTCGCGTGTTGGCCACCTTGGTTTTGACTTTGTTTATATCATCTCTTTGTTCTCGTTTCTGTTTAACAATCTCTTTTATCTGGGATACTCTGAAGAAGGCAAAATAGAAAACAATCTTGTGTTAAGATTATTCGTGTTTTGTTCAAGTGGCATAAGATAAGAGACCAGACCCTCACTCAAGCTGTGCACCAGTCTTTCTCTGAAACTTTCCTTCATTCAAATTTGCAGTCATCCTTCCTCCAAGCATTTACTGAATTCGTCATTAATTACAGGTTGCCCTCTATTATTATTTGACTTTTTATGGTGGTAGGCCTTTTCTTTCCTAAGTAATGCACTTGGACCTAAGAAGTAGTAAGAAGAGGCCAAGAAGCTGCCATACACATTCTAAAAGCAAGGTTAGAAGTACTAAAGGTTTAAGGTCATGGGCCTCTATCTTCTCTGGATACCAAAATAATATAACTCTAATTTCAAGCCAAAGGCGGGTCTTGGAAACTGCATTTATAATAGGCATTCTAGGTAATTCTGATGCCTTAGGCCAAACTTTTGAGAAATTCTGTCTGTGGTTATTGTGTTAATCTGGGTACTTTAGAGAAACAAATCCACAGAAACTCATGTATAAGAGAGAATTTTATATAAAGGGTAAGTGCACATCAAGAAAACATGCCAACCCAGTGCTGCCCAAGCCCACAAGTCCAACATTAACCCATATGTCCAACACCAATCCACAAAGTCCTTCTCCATCTCACAAAACACACACTATGATGCCGACTGCAAGAGGAAAGCCGAGTCAGTGAATGTGTAAGCATCTCAGCACTGGCAGGGGTCTCCACACGGCTGCTCCAGCACCCAGGGCTGCATCGAGGTAGGTCCATGCAGCTTCTCCTTGGGGATGGCTTGCAGGAAGTGAGATTTGCCAGCTGAAGCAGGGAACTGGCTAAGGCAGCTGCAGCCTGGTCTGACCATCAGAAAGCAAGAGACCTGAGAACTAGAAAGGCGAGGCTCACTGAGCCATTTACCCCTCCGCCCTTCAATTAACCCCACGTTTTTATCGGCCAATATTGGCCAGTTGGCACAATAAACTAACTACCTCAGTTATATATTGGACTATTGACTTTTTCTGGCCTGAGTTCAATACTTTAACAACCTCTATTGATGTCCTGAACATTCTCACCTACAGCTTTATAAATGAGGCTGAAAAATAGGGGAAGAATTGTGATTTGAATTGCCCTTATGCTCATCATCAGTTCTATGCTGACACGTAGGAGGCCGCCATCAGTTGGAAGCAGCTCAACTGAGAAGTGGTTGGTTGTATTCCTATCGACTAAACCAAACTCACTTCCATCCAGTCGATGCCAACTCATCGTGACCCCCCCTGTGGGTTTCCAAGAATGCAACTGCTTATGGGAGTAGAAAGCCCAGTCTTTCTATCTCTGAGTGTCAGGTGGTTTCGAACTGCTTACCAGGTGCATCACAGCCCAATGCTGCATAACTATTTCACCAGCCGGGCTCCCTTGAGATATCAAAGCCCCAAGCTGGCTTTGATAGAGACACAAAAATAGCTCAGAAGAATTTACATCATGCCTGGTTTTAAATATAATTTCCAACCATGTTTGAGAGAAGTTTTCATCTTTCAAACAGGAAACTAAGGCAATCTGATTTTCGATAGGAATTAGTAAACTGGATAGTTGTAATCATCCGGACCAGAAGTTTGCATTGGAAGCAGGCATCGCAATGCTCCTTAGCAGCAAGGGAAGCAAGACTTGGTCTCACTTACTTTGGACATGTGACCAGATGGAGCCAGTCCCTGGGAAAGGACACCATGCTTGGTAGAGCAGAGGGTCAGTGGAAAAGAAGAAAACACTCAAGGGAATGGATTGACAGACACCGTGGCTGTGACAATGGACTCGCACATAACCACAAACGTGGGGGAGGATTGTGAGGTGCAGGAGCAGTCGACATGTCACTCTGCTATAGAGAGTCACGATACGTTGGAACCAACTCGACAGTACCTAACAATCACAACAACAACAATAAAAGGAAACAACTGAATCAAAGTCATGGCCTTATGCCCATATAAGGCTGTCTTTGCTAGCCAATGCTGCCGTGACAGAAATACCACACGTGAGAAGCCCTCACGAATAGAGATTTCTCTTTTCCCAGCCGCGGAGTCTGTGGACCTGAATTTAGAGTGCCAGTGCTAAGGAAAGACTCTCTGTGTCAGCCCTAAAAGAAGGTCTTGTTTTTTGTTTTGTTTTTGCTCCTGTGGCTTCGCATTTCTCTTCCCCAACTCTACTTCTCACACTTGATTGTTGAATCTCTTTTAGAATTCGAGCGAAATCGAATTAAGATACCCAGGAAACTAACCCTGTCTCATCATATCATGAAGAAACTCTATTCCCAAATGGGATGAGAATCATAGCTACCAAGGATTGACAATACATATTTGGGGGGAACACGATTCTATCTAGAACAAATACCTTCACAATTCTCTAGGAAAATCAATCTTCAAAAACAAACATTAATGTTGGAAAATAAAAACAGAAGGGGGCCATTTCTGGACTGCTATAAGATTAATTCATGTTTTAAAGGAAGTGCTAAATTCCTCGTATGCAATTGCCGAGCATGAAAATAGCAGCAGACCTTCGACTACCACTGTTCTCGGAGCTCTTCTCTCTGACTGGCTCTCTTCTGTTCTTTGAGTACTCTTTCTCCTGCTGCTGCTGCTGCTGCTGCTGCTGCTGCTGCTGTATCCCACCCTCTCTCTTTTTAATCATTTTATTGGGGGCTCATACAACTCTTAGCACAATCCATCCATCCATTGTGTCAAGCACATTTGTACATTTGTTGCCATCATCATTTTCAAAACATTTGCTTTCTACTTGAGCCCTTGGTATCAGCTCCTCATTTTTTCCCTCCTCCCTCCCCAATCCTCCCTCCCTCATAACCCTTGATAATTTATAATTAATATTTTTCATGTCTTACACTGACTGATGTCTCCCTTCACCCACTTTTCTGTTGTCCATCCCCGTGGTGGGGGGGAGTTATAAGTAGATCATTGGGATCGGTGCCCCTTTTCTCCCCCACTTTCCTCTCCCCCTCCTGGTATGGCTACTCTCAATATTGGTCCCAAGGGATTTATCTGTCCTGGATTCCCTGTGTTTCCAGATCTTATCAGTACCTTGTACATGCTCTGGTCTATTGGGGTCATGATAGTTGGAGGAAGGAAGCATTACAAAACTAGAGGAAAGTTGTATGTTTCATCGTTGCTACACTGTACCCTGACTGGCTTGTCTCTTCTATGTTACCCTTCTGTAAGGGGATGTCCAATTGCCTACATATGGGCTTTGGGTCTCCACTCTGCACTCCCCCTCATTCACAATAATATGATTTTTTGCTCTTTGATGCCCGATACCTGATCCTATCAACACCTCATGATCACACAGGCCGATGTGCTTCTTCCATGTGGCTTTCTTGCTTCTCAGCTAGATGGCCACTTGTTTATCTTCAAGCCTTTAAGACTCCAGATAGCCAGGCACCATCAGTTTTCTTCATCACATTTGCTTATGCACCTACTTTGTGTTCAGTGATCATGACAGGAGGGTGAACATCATGGAATGCCAGTTTAATAGAACAAAGTGTTCTTGCATTGAGGGAGTACTTGAGTGGAGGCCCAATGTCCGTCTGCTATCTTAATACTAAACCTATAAATATATGTACACAGATTTCCCCATTGTCATATATAGATTTATATATGTATATGCCTATATTTAGACCTCTATAAATGCCCTTTGCCTCCTAGTTCTTTCCTCTATTTCCATTTGTTTTCCTCTTGTCTCACCATCGTGTTCAACCTTCATTTGAGTTTCAGTAATTCCTCTCAATTACAGTGCCCTGATCAAGCCCTACCAGGCCTCCTACACCCTCCTTGCCATCAATTTTAGATCACTTGTTCCCTTGTCCCTGAGTTTGTTAACATCCACTTCCTTTTCACCACCCCACCCCACCCCCACCGCCTCCACCTCATCTGTTTGTCCCATTGTTTTCTCCTCCTGCTTATTTATCCCACCTATCTTATCTAGATAGACATGCAGAGACAATAATAAACACAAAAACAAGACAGAGCAAAACAAAGCAACAGCAACAACAAAAACCAATCACAAAAAAAGAAAAGCCTATAAATAGTTTAAGGTCTATCTGTCAGTGAGGGACGTTGTGTCTCGTGGTGGGGCTAGCCATATGGTCCTCTCTGTGCATTGGCTGCTCTGAGCAGGAATATCATCCGCAGGGATTGGTGGGCCAGGATGTGCTCCACCCTCTCTCCCTCTCCCTTCATTTGCTCCTGTGTGCTCTGATCAGACACGTCCCTCTCGAGCTGTGTAGCTTCAGTGCTGTCCTCTGAAGTGAATTCTTCTGGGGGAGAGGGGACGGTCCACATAGTTGGAATTGGGGCTGGCCCCGCAGCATCCCACTGTCTTGGCCTCCCTCTCTCATTCCTTTTCCCTTCCTTCTATTTCTTTCTAGCATTCTTCCAGATTTCTGCTTTTCATTCCTGCATGGCTCTTCATTCTGTGGCTGTGTTTTTCTTTCAGCTTTTCTTATTATTCATTCACTGACTAACCTATTAAGTCACTCACTCATTCATTACACAAATATTTGCTGGGTACCTATGATGTATATTGCCATTATAAAGTTTAGGCTTCTATGGCAGCACAAAAAGGAAACAATATTGTGTGACAATTACTGTAGGTCACCATGTACAGTGATGAGTGAGACACAAAAATGAATTTTGTTTCTCAATTTAGGCATCATGAAATTGGTTTTCGTGCTAAATGCGTTTCTCCCTCTTTGCCTGAGCAGATTCTCCACATCCTTTAGGCCTCGGCCTTAGCATCTTCCATTTACTGATACCCAAACTTAGAAACAAAATCTAGTTTAGTGCTTCACATCCACTGTACATGAGACTCCAAATATAACCCAAATGGAGTTTAAATTGATTATAGTCCTCATTTAGGAAATGGATTCTTGTGGCCTGCATTACCTTGTGAAACAGCTACACCAATCAATTCAATGCTATAGCAACTTTGGGCAG